CCTTTGTAGGTGACCTTTTTCCTCTCTCTAGCTGCATTTAAAACTCTGTCCTTGTCCTTGATCTTTGCCATTTTAATTATTATGTGTCCTGGTGTTTTCCTCCTTGGGTCCCTTCTGTTGGAATTTCTATGTACTTCCATGGTCTGAACGATTATTTCCTCCCCCAGTTTTGGGAAGTTTTCAGCAATTATTTCTTCAAATATACTTTCTATCCCTTTTTCCTCTCTCTTCTTCTTCTGGTACCCCTATAATGTGAATATTGTTCCATTTGGATTGGTCACACAGTTCTATTAATATTGATTCATTCCTGGAGGTCCTTTTATCTCTCTCTGCATCAGCTTCTATGCATTGCTGTTCTCTGGTTTCTATTCCATCAATGGCCTCTTGCATCTTATCCATTCTGCTTATAAATCCTTCCAGAGATTGTTTCATTTATGTAATCTCCTTCTGGACGTCATCACTTAGCTCTTGCATATTTCTCTGCAGCTTCATCAGTATGTTCATGACCTTTATTTTGAATTCTTTTTTGGGGAAACTGGTGAGGTCTATCTCCCCAGATTCCTTCTCAGGGAAGGATGTCTGGGTTAGTCTGGTCTGTATCAAATTCTTCTGCCTTTTCATGGTGATAGAGGTAGTTGTGGGAAGCTGGTGCGTATGTCGGCTGGGAGAACATCCCTACTTGCTGTTTTGTGGCCTTCCTCTCCTGGGAGAACAGCGACCCCTAGCTGCTTGTGCTGGGTAGCTGCGCCAAGATGGTGTTTCTAATTCTTCCCCGGCTGCTGTGAAAGAAGCTCTGCCCTACTGCCTCAGGCTGCTTCTCCACTATGGTGGAGCCACTTTGGAGGGGAAACAGGTGGGGGGCTGTTTATCTCCATGAGGAGCCTCTGAGCTGTGCTGCCACCAAGGGGGTTAGGGTGCCTGGAGCTCCCTGGGATTCCCAGTTGCTGGGCTGTGTCCTGGGATGTTTCCATCCAGCTGTGGGGCCCCTGTCACTTTAAGTCTTTCAAAAAGCACTCACTTTTCTTTGTCCCAGGGGTGCCGGCTGTGGGGACCCACTCACAAGTTTTACTGTCCCATTTCTCTAGTATTCAGCATCCCACACACTGGGTGTCTGCGCTCCGGTGAGGATGGCTAAGGCTGGGTGTTTAGCAGCCCCGGTCTCCCTCCCCCTCCCCGCTCTGACTCCTCTCCTTCCACCGGGAGCTGGGGTAAGGGGAGATCAGGTCCCACCAGGCCACAGCTTGTATCTTACCACCTTTGCGAGGTGCTGGGTTCTCGCAGATGTGGATGTTTTCTAGCTGTTGTCCTGTATCTTCTGGTCTCTCTTTTAGGGATAGATGTATTTGTTGAATTTTCAAAAACATATATGGATTTGGGAGGAGATTTCCGCTGCTCTACTCATGCCACCATCTTGGCTCCACCCCTCCAACAGTGTTTTTATTGTAAATATTTATCATAAATATTCAAAAGGCACCTACAAATTATTATTGATAAAACAACCAATCCTATGTCAAATAGGTGGAAATATAAACAAGCAGTTCATAGTAGATAGAATGAAGATTAAAAAGACCAAAAATGCTAAACTTCTGTAATAATAAACAGGAAAATTAAAACAACAGTAATACAACTTTTTTCTCCTTCATATTGATAAAAAATGTGAAATAACTCGTAAAAGAAAATGGACTCAAGCAAAATTACATGAGTTTAAATAATAGCTCCGTGACTTGCTAGTTGTGTGATCTTAGGCCAGTTAAACTTATTTCTGATTCTATTTCTTCATTTATATATATGGAGAAGGTAATGTTCCCACATTGCAGAACTACTTTGTAATTGATTATGCCAAACTGTGTGCCATAGTTTCTGGCATTAAATGTCTTAAATAAATGTTAAATATTGTGATTCTTATATAGTTATAATTATTGGTAACAATGTTACTAGTACATATATTAGTCAACATTTTGGGGAAATAATCCAGCAATGTTTCTGAAACTGTAAACTCACATCCCCTTTGTGTCTCATGCTGGAGACTTTACCTGAAGAAGTAAGTTATCTCTATGGAAGAGACTTGACTAAGGTATTTATTTCCATGTAGTTGAAGTGCCTTTGAGATCTATGAACAGGGAATTGAGGCAATAATATGGTATAGTGGCAATGGAATATGACCAAGCTACTGAAAAGGATAAGGTAGATTTATATGTATGTACTTGAGAGAATGTCCTCAATGTTTTGTTAAGAAGTGAATAAACCCAGTGTTAATAACATATATAATATGATCACACATTTGCATAAAACAAAATCAAGTATCTACATGTATATGCTTGTATAAGGAAAAGAAAAGGTATGAAAGCAAAGGTGTCAAGTTATTGACAGTAGTTATCTTGGGGGATGGATGATAGGATGACAAGGAACCTGTTGACTTGACTTTAGGCATTTCGGGCTTTTTAGGACTTGAGCGTCAGCTCTACGAGAGCAGGACCTGATACATCTTATTCACTGCTGTATATCCAGTGCCCAGAAATAAATATTTGTAGGTGAATAAGGAAACAAAGTTTAAATTGTCATAAGGGTATACAGAACCTCTGTAATACAAATTGTATCTTAGTGTTTTATAAGACATTTAGTACCATAAAACATATGTTACTATTGTAGACATAGCTCTGGCAATAACTTCGACCTGTTTATGACTTCTGAGCCTGTTTCTACATCTCAAACATCCCGTCATACCTTCTTCAGAGGTGTAAGATACTACCTGATAGGCATAGTCCTGTACACCAATCATCTGATAAATGAGCAACAATCACAGCAAGCAGATTCTAACTTTAATTTCATTCTTAACTAAAATTGAAACAGGGCCAGTGGGTCAATGACCCTTGTTTTCTTTTCCCATTTTAACAACCACCTATAGCTTATGCATTCTGTGGTAATTCTTCCTCCCAATAGAAGGGCTTAGGCCATTGTATTTGGGGCATTGGAGTTACCAAATGTTTTCATAGCTATTTTCTCATTTTCCCCTCATACAAATTCTGTCATTTACTCCACTTTATAAAAGGAAAAACGGAAATTCTGAAAAGGAATTTGCTCAAAGCCTCACACGTAATAGCTGTTCCTGAAAGTACTCTGAGAAGCATCTTACAATATTATCAGTGAAACTCCTTGCTAACAATCCGTGCTTAGGAAGTCTAGAAATGGTTTATGGTTTGTAGCATCATATGACTTAATAATTCTTTCTTACTTTCTCTTTTCTTAACTTAATGTGCTCATAAGCCACTTTGAAGGGAGTGGACATAACAGGGGGTGGTGCAGATTTATTAATTCTCATTTATAGAAAATAAAAGCTTATACATAAAAAACATATATATTTAAAAAACCTTTAGTCCAAGAGTATGTAAAAATATCACATTGTGACTCTAGCAGTTTTGCACAGTGGAATCACATTTAAGGGAATTAAGAATATATTTTCATGAGGGAAATATTTTCCATATCAACATATAAATTTCTGTGGAACTTACAAACTCTGTGTTATAGATAGATTTGGTCAGTGAGCGGTCACCTTGTCAGAAAGGCATAGCTGACAGCTCCATTTACACAGATTCGTGAAGAAAGCAGATAAAAAATATCGTCTCTTCACTGTGATTCCTATGATTGTCAATGCTTTATTTTGTGTAGGTCATTTTTTGTACTTGTTCCTGTGGTTTGCCTTTCCTGTTTCCGACAAATGGAAGTCTGAAAGAAGCTTATCTTTTCTTTACTTCCTGACAGTATAACAATACCTGAATAGTGTAGGTAGCAATTGGACACCAACTCCAAACCTTCAAAAATTCCATTCACAACCAAAGCTACATTCTTTTTGAAGAGAATGACCCTCTACATCATGGGGAAACAATGTATTTTCATAAATGCTTGTAAATACTTAAAAATTGGCATTCAAAATGGGAATCAAATCAATATTAGGAACTCATGAAAACACTTGCATGTGCACACACACACAAATGTAGAGAAGAAGAGAAATTGGGAGAATTATATTTTACTATAAAGTTAGAATTTAGTGTTCTAAAATTTTTTTAATTTAGCATTATGATATAGTTTAGAATCAAGAAAAAGGAAGAACAGTACGATGAATTACAAAAACAGTTAATAGCAATATTACCGCAGTGAAAAGTCGTAGTTGAGGCATGTAAGTCATAGTAATTAACATTTTTAGACATTAAAATGTTTTCCCAGTGCACACATTTGTCAGCATTTACATGGAGAATTTCAAGATTCAGTTATTTCTTATTGACCTATGTGCGCCAAATTATGTGAGGCTTTTGGAAACTGTTTTTCTTTCCTTGTTTCCCTGTCTTTCATTGTGGCATGTTATGGCATTTCTATTTGAGTTGAGTTTATCAGAAGCTTACATCTTAGCTTGATGAATGAGGGAAGGTAAAAAAATATTCAGATTAATTGAGAAAAGTCTCAAAGGCTTTAAAAGTGTTCAAAACACTATAGTTCATGATGCGGGATCAAAACCAAAAGTTTCTGTAATGACTGCCCTTGCACTGTTCACCATGTAAGAACTTATTCACTATGTAAGAACTTGTTCACCATGTAAAAACTTGTTCGTTATGCTTCAGAAGATGGGAGTCTGTTGAGAATGAGGCTTGGGTTGATTAATGATTGTGCATTGAGTCCCCTATACATAATTTTATTGTTAACAACGATATGATCAATAAATATGAGAGATGCCCTCTCAAAAAAAAAGTGTTCAAAACACAAGTATGAAAATAATCACTGACACTCTTAGAAAGTTTTTTTAAGTGGTTGTAAATTTTTTTGGAACAGATTTTCAGGAGGAAAATATATACATCTTTAACATTTTTAAAGAGGTGTGTGTGTGTGTGTGTGTGTGTGTGTGTGTGTGTGTGTGTGTGTGCGTGCGCGTGCGTGCGCGCGCGCGTGTGTGTAAAGGGTGCTAGGGTAAAGGCAAAGATGGTTATTCAGTTGTCATTTTTCTCTGTTAGAATTCAGGAGGAAAGGCGCCTAAGTTCCTGGAAGGATTGGAAATCTCAGATAAATTTGGGTATCTGAAGCCCTGAAGATCTCTATTCTCATCTAATGGAGGTTAATATCCAGACTTTATTTCCTGTTTGCCATCTCGGATTCCTTTGGACACCATCCATTATTACCTTGATATCTTTGTTTCTGGCCTCTTTATGGCAGCCTGACCTTGGATATTGTTATTCCTTTAACAGTTAACTTTGGTATTGTTGATCTCAGGCCATTTCAGAAGAGCAATTAAGTCAGCCAAGTTGTTCACTTGTAAGGATCTAAATCTCTCCATTACATTTTAATGGTTAGACTATTTAATGTAACCTTTCTTTACTCTGAAAGGTTTAAAGAATTGTACATTGCATATATGTGTTTCCACTTCCATGGGAAGCAGATTAATAAGGTAAAATGAGACCAGAGATCATGCATTCTTTGAACGTGGGATCAAGTCATGATTTTGTGTTCTGGGATGTTATGTGACTGGGCAGGAGCTCTCTACTTCAAGGCTACCAGAAATCATTGTAACAGTCAATTCGAGGCAGCAGGGCATAGCTGTAAATACCATGGACTCCAAAGACAGACTTTGAAATGCTGAAAATCCTGCTTGAAATCCTGGCTCTACACTACACGTAGTGTAACTTTGGAAAACTAACTTCTTTGTCCTTCAGTTTTCCCATGTTTCTAATGGAGATGACATTTGTACCTGTCAGGGAACCAGTTGTGCTGTGTCCAAGGCCTTGCTTCCCATGACACCATGCTGAGCATAACTTGTGTTAAAGTTCATTGAGATGGACAAAGTAATAGGAGTTTAAAAATATCTACAGAATGAGAAAAGGTGTAGTGGTCAAAAAGAGTGAATAAATAAAGCATGCTTAAAAAAACTCATTTTGCCACTTCCCTCAGGTAAACCAGCTATTTTAAAAGAGATCTTGTTTTAAACTTTGTTTAAAACAAAAAACAAAAGTGAATATCTGTCAAACCATAGCAGGCAGGAAATGTCAAAGATGTTGACCTTCCCCTGGAAACATGTGACTTCCATTGTTAGCTGTATAAATCTGGGACTTTTCCAGGAAGGACATGAGCATATCTGAGTTATCATGAGGCTCCATAAGTATCCAGGTTTAAATCATGTGAAACTTCGAAGATTATAGTCAGAGTTGCAGAGCTAGTGAATTAAAGAGAGTGTGAAATTTTGAAAAATATTTGATTTACCTACCTACTGAAACTTAGTTTCTAAGGTAAGAGTAAGCACAAATAAACAACAAAAATATATGTTTATGTAACTGCAGAACATATAAACCACTGACCCAGTCAAAGAAGAAAATAAAATATTGATTTTTAAAATATAAAACAAATCAAAAGGTAATTTGTTACTGTTTATTACTGGTATTGCATTGATGAAACTGGTTAAGTGAATCCTCCTAATTTTTAAAACTGAGTCCTGACTGTTTATGAACATTTTGACCATAACTTTTGGCCAAAGTAATCACCCAAGTTCATCTGTTATGGTAGCATGATGGGCATCTGTAGTGTTCCACCACTTGTATTGCCATAATAGCTGTTTCCCCAATCCCTGAACTTCTTTCTCATTACAGTACATGGACATACCACCCACTGTGTTGATCAAGACAAATCTAGAAGGCTTCCTTGATTCTCTTGGTTCTTTATTGCCCATAATGAATTCATCACCAATGCTGTGGGTTTTACCTGGAGCAGATGGCTTCATTGCTGAATTTCATCAAACATTTAGTGAAGACCTAATACCCATCATCCTTAAAGTTTTTCAAAGAGTAGAAGAAGAGGGAATACTTCCAAACTTATTCTATGAGGCCAGCATCACTCTAATACCAAAACCAAGCAAAGACACCACAGAAAAAGAAAATTACAGACAAATATCCCTGTTGAACATAGATGCAAAAATACTCAACAAAATATTAACAAATTGAATTTAAAAATACATCAAAAAGATCATCCATCATGATCAAGTGGGATTCAACTCAGGGATGCAAGGATGGTACAACATTCGAAAATCCATCAACATTATTCATTACATCAACAAAAAGAAGGACAAAATCCACATGATCATCTCCATAAATGCTGAAGAAGCATTTGAGAAATTTCAACATCCATTCATGATAAAACTTCTCAACAAAATGCATATAGAGGGCAAGTACCTCAACGTAATAAAGGCCATATATGAGAAACCCAAACCGAACATTATACTTAACAGCAGAAAGCTGAAAGCTTTTCCTTTAAGATCAGGAACAAGACAATGATACCCACTCTCCCCACTTCTATTCAACATAGTACTGGAGGTCCTAGCCACAGCTATCAGACATCATGAAGAAATAAAAGGCATCTAGATTGGCAAGGAAGAAGTTAAACTGTCCTTGATTGCAGATGACATGATATTGTACATAAAAAAACCTTAAGAATCGACTCTAAAACTATTAGATCTAATATCTGAATTCAGCAAAGTTTCAGAATACAAAATTAATACACAGAAATCTGTGGCATTCCTATACACTAACAATGAACTAGCAGAGAGAGAAACCAGGAAAACAATTCCATTCACAATTGTATCAAAAAGAATAAATACCTAGGAATAAATGTAACCAAGGAAGTGAAAGACCCATACTGTGAAAACTACAAGACACTCCTGAGAGAAATTGGAGAAGATACCAATAAATGAAAACACATCCTGTGCTCATGTATAGGAAGAATTAATATTGTCACAATGGCCATCCTACCTAAAGCAATGTATAGATTCAATGCAATTCCTATCAAAATACCAACAGCAATCTTCAACAAACTAGAGAAAATCGTCCTAAAATTCATATGAAACCACAAAAGTCCTCGAATAGCCAAAGCAATTCTGAGAAGGAATAATAAAGCTGGGGGAATTATACTCCCCAACTTCAAGCTCTACTACAAAGCCACAGTAATCAAGACAATTTGTTACTGGCACAAGAATAGTCCCATAGATCAATGGAAAAGATTAGAGATCCCTGATATAAACCCAACCATATATGGTCAATTAATATATGATAAAGGAGCCATGGATATGCAATGGGAAATGACAACCTCTTCAACAGCAGGTGTTGGCAAAACCGGACAGCTACATGCAAGAGAATGAAACTGGATTATTGTTCGACCCCATACACAAAAGTAAACATGAAATGGATCAAAGACCTGAATGTAAGTCCTGAAACCATAAAACTCTTAGTAGACAACATTGGCAAAAACTTCCTGAATATAAACATGAACAACTTCTTCCTGAATGCATCTTCTCGAGCAAGGGAAACAAAAGCAAAAATGAACACATGGGACTACATCAAACTAAGAGTTTCTGTACCACAAAGGACAGCATGAACAGAACGAAACAGCATCCTAGAGTATGGGAGAATATATTTGTAAATGGCTTATCTGATGAGGGTTTAACATATGAAATATATAAAGAACTCACACCCCTCAACACCCAAAAAGCAAATAACTCGATTAACAAATGGGCAGAGGATATGAAGAGACAGTTCTCCAAATAAGAAATTCAGATGGCCAACAGGTACAAGAAAAGATGCTCCACATCACTAATCATCAGGGAAATGCAAATTAAAACCACAATGAGATATCACCTCACACCAGTTAAGGATGGCCAGCATCGAAAAGACTAAGAACAACAAATGCTGGCAAGTATGAGGAGAAAGGGGAACCCTCCTACACTGCTGGTGGGAATGTAAGCTAGTTCAACCATTCTGGAAAGCAATGTAGAAGTTCCTTAAAAAAAAATAGAACTACCATTTGACCAGGGAATCCCACTCCTTGGAATTTACCCAAAGAATACAACTTCTCAGATTCAAAAAGACATATGCACCCATATGTTTATTGCAGCACTCTTTACAATAGCCAAGATATGGAAGCAACCTAAGTGTCCATCATCAGATGAATGGATCAGGAAGAGGTGGTACATATACACAATGGAATACTATTCAGCCATAAGAAAGAAACAAACTCTACCATTTGCAACAACATGGATGGAGCTGGAGGATATTATGCTCTGTGAAATAAGCCAGGTGGAGAAAGAGAAATGCCAAATGATTTCCCTCATTTGTGCAATATAACAATGAAGCAAAAGTGAAGGAAAAAAACAGCAGCAGACTCAGAGACTCCAAGAATGAACTAGTGTTTTCCAAAGGGTAGGGATATGGGAAGGCAGTTAGGGAGTGAGTATAAGGGGACTGAGGGGTATTATGTTTAATACACATGGAGTGGGGGCTCACAGTGAGAACAGTGTAGCACAGAGAAGGTACATATTGGATCTCTGGCATCTTGCTGCACTGATGGATAGTGGCTGCATTGGGCTATGGGTGGGGACTTGATAATATGGGTAAATGTAGTAACCACATTGTTTTTCATGTGAAACCTTCATACGAGTGTATATATCAATAATACCTTAATAAAAAAAAGAAAGTACATAATAGATAATATAGTCAATAGTTCTGTAACATCTTTCTGTGTTGATAGATAGGGACTACACTAGTTGGAGTGAGCATTTAATAATGCACATAAGTGTTGAATCACTATGTGGTAAAAATTAATATTATATATGAACTATATTTTTATTGTATATAAACTACTTCAATAAAAATATAAATAAATAATAAAAATTAAAAGTGAAAAGTAAAAAAAGAAAGAAAACCCAAATGAAAGCCTATGAGAACAGATCATTTATGGAGAGTCCAAATTGTAACATTGGGAACTTATTTCAGACTTGTTTTATTGCCTTCATTACAGTAAAGAAAACTTCAAAACCAAGATAAAGATGACAGGCCAATAGTGTTCTCCATCTCCAGACAATATGTTAAATAGAATGCCACCAGACAGAGGAGATATTTTTGCTAAGAGCCCTGTAAAGTACAAGCAATCCTGGGAGTATGGACTAGGGCCAGAGCTACTGTCATCCAGAAACCGAGTTAAAGTGAATAAGAAGGATAGCCTGAACAAGTGGACCTAGTGAAGACGCGAGGGAGTAGGGGAGATTATGTGATGAACTGATTG